GGGGGTCCCCTCCCGGTGGGATTTGGTGGTCTCGTGGTCTTGGGGGTCCCCTCCCGGTGGGATTTGGTGGCCTCGTGGTCTTGGCCCAAGGCCTTGGGCTTGGCGGTTGGGTGGCAGTGACCGAGCGCTGCTGAGGGCCCCAAAATCGTTGGGTTCAAGGGTCCCAAAATCGTTGGGTTTCGGGGCACGGAGGGGTCGGTGATTTTTGGGGACAGTCCCTCCTGTGAGGACACGGGAGGTTCCCAAGGGCGGGAATTCGCTGCTGCTCCTGGGTGGTGTCCTCGTGGTTGGATTTGGGGGGATGAGGGTGGTCTTGGCCTTGATGGTCTTGGAGGTCTCTTCCAACCCTGGTGACTCGGTGACAATGGTTGGACTTGATGACAGTGGTTGGCCTTGATGGTCTTGGAGGTCTCTTCCAACCCTGGTGACTCGTTGGCAATGGTTGGACTCGATGATCTTGGAGGTCTCTTCCAACCCTGGTGACTCAGTGACAATGGTTGGACTTGATGACCTTTGAGGTCTCTTCCAACCCTGGTGACTCGGTGACAGTGGTTGGACTCGATGATCTTGGAGGTCTCTTCCAACCCTGGTGACTCAGTGACAATGGTTGACCTTGATGGTCTTGGGGATCTCTTCCAACCCTGGTGACTCGGTGACAGTGGTTGGACTCGATGACATTTGAGGTCTCTTCCAACCCTGGTGACTCGGTGACAATGGTTGGCCTTGATGGTCTTGGAGGTCTGTTCCAACATTGATGACTTGGTGACAATGGTTGGACTCGATGACCTTTGAGGTCTTTTCCAACCCTGGTGACTCGTTGACAATGGTTGGACTTGATGGTCTTGGGGGTCTCTTCCAACCTTGGTGACTCGGTGACAATGGTTGGACTCAATGACCTTTGAGGTCTCTTCCAACCCTGGAGACTCAGTGACAGTGGTTGGACTTGATGACAATGGTTGGCCTTGATGGTCTTGGAGGTCTCTTCCAACCCTGGTGACTCGGTGACAATGGTTGGACTTCATGATCTTTGAGGTCTCTTCCAACCCTGGTGACTTGTTGGCAATGGTTGACCTTGATGGTCTTGGAGGTCTCTTCCAACCTTGGTGACTCGGTGACAATGGTTGGACTTGATGACCTTTGAGGTCTCTTCCAACCCTGGTGACTCAGTGACAGTGGTTGGACTTGATGGTCTTGGGGATCTCTTCCAACCCTGGTGACTCAGTGACAATGGTTGGCCTTGATGACCTTTGAGGTCTCTTCCAACCCTGGTGACTCGTTGGCAATGGTTGGACTCGATGACCTTTGAGGTCTCTTCCAACCCTGGTGACTCGTTGGCAATGGTTGGACTCGATGAC